ATGTTGTTATCTGTGTGTACTATGCATATTTCCACATCTCCTCGATCTATGATCTTTCGAATGAGATGAAAGCGCCTAAGAATATGTTTGGATCGTTGATGAGATATGGTTTCCTTTTCTTGTGCAATGGCTCCATTATTTTCACAACGGAGTTCTACAACATCTGATATGCTGGGAACAACCCCTAATTCCAATATAAACTTCTTGATCCAAACAACTTCTTTTGCTACTTTAATGGCTGCAATGTATTCAGCATCTGTTGTAGAATCAGCTACCGTGTCTTGCTTTTAACTTTTCCAGATCACAGAACCTCCATTAAGACAAAACACAAAACCCGATTGCGATTGTGAGTCATCCTTGTCAGTTTGGAAGCTGGAATCAGTATCACCTTTTACACTAAGCTCTTTCTCCCCTCCATAGACAAGAAAGTTATCCTTAGTTCTTCTTAAGTACTTAAGGATATTTTTAACCGCAACCCAGTGATTTTTACCAGGGTTTGCTTGATACCGACTCGTCATGCTTAAAGCATACGATACATCTGGTCGAGTACATATCATGGCATACATGATAGAACCAATAGTTGAAGTATATGGAATCTTATTCATCCGTTCTCTTTCTTGTGGAGTTGAAGGACATATTTCCTTCAAAAGAGAAATGCCATGTCTCATAGGTAAAAATCCTTTCTTGGATTCTTCCATACTGAACCTTTTCAGCACTTTGTCTATATATGTACTTTGAATCAGACCTAGAAGTCGTATTGATCTATCTCAATAGATCTTAAGTCCTAAGATATATGCTGCCTCACCCAAATATTTCATAGAAAAACAACTACCTAACTAAGTCTTAATAGACTGTAAAGTAGGTATATCATTTCCTATGATGAGTATGTCGTCTACATAAAAGATTAGGAAAGAAACAATGCTCCCGCTAGACTTCTTATAAACACAAGGTTCATCTTCATTTCTCATAAAACCAAACTCTTTGATTGCATCATTGAAATGAAGATTCCAGCTCCGAGAAGCTTGCTTTAGTCCATAAATAGACATCTGTAGCTTACAAACCTTTCCAACATTTCCTGGAATGATAAAACCATCTGCTTGTGTCATATACACATCATTTTCAAGTTTTCCATTAAGGAAAGCGGTTTTGACGTCCATTTTCCAGATTTCATAATCATGGAATGCAACTATTGCAAGTTAGATCCGGATGGACTTAAACATAGCTATAGGGGAGAATGTTTCATTATAGTCTACACCATGAACTTGTCGAAAACCTTTAGCGACTAATTTCCCCTCGTATGTTTGTACATTACCATCCATGTCGGTTTTCTTCTTGAAACCCCATTTACTCCCTATAGGTTTAACCCCTTCAGGTGGTTCAACCAGAGTCCACACTTGGTTTACTAACATAGAATCCATCTCAGATCTCATGGCTTCAAGCCATTTCTTAGAGTCTACTCTAGACACTGCCTCTTGATAAGTCCTAGGCTCATCTTGATCCATAAAAAGAACATCTCCATGTGCAGTAACGAGAAATCCAAATCTCTTAGGTGCATGTCGTTCTATTGTGGATATGTGCAGTGGTTGTGTTTCTAAATCTGTTAATTGTTCCTCAACAACTTGTGAAACATGCTCAACTTCAGGTTTATTGATCTGTTGTTCTTGAACTTCTACAAGTTCAATATTTCCACCATTCCCTTTCTTTGAGAGAAACTCTCTTTCAAGAAAAACTCATGTTCAAGCAACAAACACTTTGTTCTCATTAGGGTTGAAGAAATATTATCCCTTAGTTTCTTAAGGATATCCAACAAATGTACACTTATGAGATTTAGGTTTGAGCTTTGTAGACTTCTGATGTTTACATAAGCTTTACAACCCTAAATCTTCATAAAGACATACTAGGAAACTTCCCAGTCCATATCTCGTATGGTGTCTTTTGAATCGATTTAGATGGAACACGATTTAGTGTGAAAGCGGTTGTTTGAAGTGCATATTCCCAAAAAGAAGTCAGAAGATCCCTATAACTCATCATCGATCGAACCATGTCTAATAGTGTTCGATTCCTTCTTTCAGAAACTCCATTCCACTGTGGTGTACCAGGTGGTGTACGTTGTGAGACAATCTCGTATTCTTTCAGGAGTTCATCAAACTCTAGGCTTAAGTATTCTCCACCTCGATATGATTGAAGTGCCTTAATACTCTTTCCTAGTTGATTTTGTACTTCATTTTTAAATTCCTTAAACTTTTCAAGGGTTTCAAATTTATGGCGCATAAGATAAATATACCCATACCGACTGAAGTCATCGGTGAAAGTAATGAAGTAATGGAATCCACCTTTGGCTTGTGTATTCATCGGTCCACATACATTACTATGTATTAACCCCAATAAATCACTTGCTCGCTCACCTTTACTATTAAAAAGAGCTTTAGTCATTTTTCCAACAAGCAAGATTCGCATACATCATATTGTTTGAAAATAAATGAATCTAAGAATCCATATTTATGGAGTTTTGATGTGCGTTTCTCACTTATATGGCCTAAACGATAATGCCAAAGATAAGTTTGATTCAAGTCATTTGTTTTTGATCTCTTAGTATTAATGTTATAAATGGTGTTTTCTTGATCCAAAATATAGAGACCATTAACCAATTTTGTCGAACCATAAAAAAACACTATCGAGATAAAAAGAACAACAATTATTCTTAATAATAATCTCAAAATCAATCTTGTCCAAACAAGAAATAGAAATAATGTTCTTAGTCAAACTAGGCACAAAATAACAATCCTCTAAATTTAAATGAAGTCCACTAGGCAAAGATAAAACATATGTCCCTATAGTTAATACAACAACTCTTGCTCTATTTCCCACTCGTAGGTCTACGTCTCCTTTAGCCAGATTCATTCTCTTTTGCAATCCCTGTACAGAAGTACAAATATGAGAACCAAAACTGGTACCTAATACCCAAGAAGTAGATGTTGACAAATTAACATCAATAACATAAATACGTTCCATTTTCTTTTGCCTTCTTGACCTCTTCAAGGTAAACAGGACAGTTTCTCTTCCAGTGTCCGGTCTTATCGCAATGAAAACATTTTCCTTCCTTGCTAACTCCTCTTTTGGGTTTCAATGAATTTTTCCCTTTTGGTTTGGCCTTACCATGCCCTTAGACCTTTCCACTACCTTTTTCTTTCCCTTTTCTTTGTCGTTGTGAACCATCAGAATGGGCTTAGGTCCAACCTTTTTCATGTTACTTTCAGCAGTTCGCAACATGCCAAGTAACTGTGGCAAAGTCTTGTTAATTTCATTCATGTTGAAATTAAGGAAAAATTGGCTAAAGCTATCTGGCAACGATTGTAGGATAATATCGGTAGCCAATTCATCTTTGAGAGGAAATACCAACTTTTCCAACGTTTGGATGTAGCCCATTATCTTGATGACATGAGCTCCTACAGGAGTTTCCTCTACCATTTTGCATTGAAGTAGAGCTTTAGAGGTCTCATATCTCTCTTGAAGTGCTTGCCCTTCATATATTTCTTTGAGATTTTGAATCATCTCATATGCAACCATGTCCTCATGTTGCTTCTGAAGCTAAGGAGTCATGGTAGCAAGCATTAGACATCCAACATCTAACATAGCATCCATATGTTTCTTGAATTTGTCTTTGTCAGCTCTTGAAGCATTAGCTGCCGGTTCATCAGGAATATGTTCCTCAATGACATATTCCTTCATTTTCTGTTTGAGAACAATTCTCAAATTACGAAACCAGTCAAGAAAGTTTATGCCATTAAGTTTATCCTTCTCAAGGAGTGATCGCAGTGATAAAGTGTTGTTTGCCATTAAATCTACAACAATGGAAATATTAAAGTAAGTAAATTTACCGAATTAAAATTTATAAATAGGACTTTATTTACAAATTACTTCCACTATTTTATTCAAAATTAAAAACCCTCTCTGTTTTAATTTCGGAAAAATTCAACGAAAATTTTTCTAGTGGGTGAGGATCCATAATATATCAATTTCCTAAATCAGCTTTGGCTTTTCTTTTAGGATAGTGATTATTTAGGTAAGTAACACTTTATTAGTTACATCTCATGTAACTCCTCATTTTGTTGAACAGCTTTTGTTCAAGTCATCTCATGACTTATCCAAATATTTAACCTCTAGGTTTCTAATCCTATTATAATAACCTAGCTAAGTTATTACCAATATCTCAACCGGTGAATATCACTTGCTTATTCTTTGCATTAAACCAAGATAGATTTATGTACTAATGCTTTGGCAAAGCCCACACAATATCGATCGAAGCCTTAACGAGGGTAAATATTGGACGGTTAAATTAACTTAGATTATAAGAGGGATTTGTGTAATTATCTCATCATTGTTCGTTTTAATATTAGGCCCTTATTGATCTCATCAATATTCATTCTTATTTTATTATTTGATGTATTGCATACATAACAAATATAATAATAAATAAGATTCAATGGTTATAGCCCAAAACATTGACTAAGGTGACCCATCCCAAGCTAATGGGAGAACCAAAAACCCTAAAGCCTAAGAATGCACTCTAGGTATCTTCTTGCCATTCTTCTTCTCCTTGTGAATCTTCATAGGTTTACAATTTTAAAGAAACTCGTTTTACATATGAGGGAGTAATATGAGAAGAAAAATACAACAGAGATATAGAAAGGCACGGCTCACAGACCGTATTTCAAATTAAACCATTGTAAATTGAACAAGGGCTATAACCATGCATGTCAAACACCGTTCAAAACAAACATATCATATATATATGCACGTTTTTATGCCTTTGTTAAAAAATATTAATATGGGCCTTCAATTTGTACTGCTGATGAGGGGTCAAGGGGCGAAGCCCCTTGCGCTCATCGACCGTCGCAGTACGGCTAGTGGGATTTTTTTTGAAAAATAGTACTTCTGTTTCTATGGAAAAATTTCATGATTTGATAACACTTATCAACAGAATCGTGCTTTTCGGATTTTCAATCCTGAAGATTTTCTGCATCGGAACAACCATTGTTCCACTGCCAAATACGATCTGTTATCGAACTCCCACGGATCATCATATCAACGATTGACATATGGATTTCGTAAAATCCTTGCAGCAACAAATCGATTCAAAAACATATTAACAAATTAACATATTAATCGTTATGGTTATCGATTCGAACAATGATATCATACATATTTGTCGAAAATGATAAAACTAGAACATACATCTCATACATATCACATCAACCAAAAATTTAACCCAAATTCGGATCGTACAAGTGGCTCCGATACCACTGTTGGAACCGTCGACGCACCCCACGGCGCAGAGGAAACAAAAGTCGACGGTCTCACCAGCGATCTAAGTACGTAAAATCGAAATCGGGAAGAAGGGATGCGAATACGTACAACGGGTTCCTTAAAAAAATAGCAAGGACAACAACGGGCATAAGGGATTTCAATACCATCCACTCCACGCTTTAACAATTCCTCCTTAACCGCTACTCTCTGTTGAACTACTTGCCATAAGAAGGTTTCAACACGAGGAGGAGCTATTCCTACCCAAATATTCCTATCCAAAAAATCCTGATTCCCCTCAATACCATCTGAGTCAAAGAAAATCTTGATACATGAATTAGTAGAGAAGCAACCCTCTCCATTCCCTAACCAAATCCAGCGATCCTCCTCATCATGAGACAAAGAGGTGTTATTCAGCACAGAAATCAGTTGTAACCATTGTTCAATCTCCCAATCCACCAGATTTCTTCTGAATTGAATATCCCACACCCAGCCTGCATCATGGTCATCCCTAAACTCCACCACTTTCCCCTCTTTATTCGTCGAAAGAGCATACAATCTAGGAAACAAATCTTTGAGGGGGTCTTCTCCCAACCAAGCATCCTTCCAAAATACCACAGAATGTCCATTTCCTGTTTTCCACCTCAAATTACTCCTAATGTAGTCACCAAACCCATCATTGGAAAAGAAGTTATTAATCACTCCTCTCCAAATCCAAGAGGCACGAGCAGTCAAAGAACTCTCTAACATTTTTGAATTCAGGTCCAAGTTATTCACACAACAAACTACTCTCTTCCACCAAGAATCCTTTTCAGAGGAAAACTTCCAAACCCATTTACCCAATAAAGCTCTGTTCAGAACAACTAAGTTTGGGATCCCTAGTCCCCCTAACCTTCTCGGCTTACTGACCAAACCCTAGTTCACCCAATGTATGTTTCTTTTATCAGTCGATCCCCCCATAAAAAAGTAGCCATTATAGAGTTTAATTTCTGCAGTACCGAAACTGGAATTCGAAATAAAGAAAGGAAGTAAGTGGGAAGAGAGCTCAAAACAGATTTGATCAACACCACCCTCCCAGCTAACGCTAGAGAATTTGCCTTCCAACCAGACAACTTGTTATAAAAATTCCGCACGATTGGCTCCCACATTGCAACATAATTTCTCTTGGACCCTAGAGGCAAGACTAAATAATCTGCTGGAAACTTACCCACTGAACATCCAATTTCCTTAGACCAATCAACAAGAACATCATCCTCAATATTAATTCCAAAAATTCTTCTCTTGATAGATTAATCTTCAACCCCACCAATAACTCGTAAATCAAAAGCACCCTTCTAACATTCTTCAAATCCCGAATTGACGCCTTTGAAAAAAATAATAAGGTCATCCGCAAATTGTAAATGCGAGAGCTTGAAAGAACGATCTTGAACTCCTAACTCAAAACCCGAAAATAGACCCAAATCCACTACTTTAGATAACAGCAAATGAAGCAATTCACCCCCAAATTAAACAGCAAGGGTGATAACGAACATCCCTGTCTAAGCCCTCTTTTTGTATGAATTTTCTCAGTAAGAGTCCCATTCAGTAAAATAGAAATAGAAGCTGTTGACATACACTTATACATCCAAGAACTCCATTTTTCGCCAAACCCCATTGTACCCAATATTTTCAACAAAATTAACCAATCAACTGAATCATATGCTTTCTTGAAATCCACCTTAAAGACCACCCCTTCAACCCTTTCTTCCTCCAGAAATCGATTCCTTCATTTGCTATGAAGGAGCAATCCAGAATGTTTCTCCCTTGAATAAATGCAAATTGAGACGGACTAATAATGTCATTAATGCACAAACTGAACCTCCTAGCCAAGACCTTTGACAAAATTTTATATAATCCTCCCACAAGGCTAATTGGCCTAAAATCCCCCATCCCCACTGGGTTAATCTTCTTAGGAATAAGAGAAATAAAGGAATGATTCACCTCCAAGTCCCACTCCTTCCCCTCGAAAAAATCAATAAAAAAATAGCATAATATCATCTTTCAAATTAGACCAGAATTTCTTGAAAACCCTAAATTCAAACCATCTGGGCCAGGAGCTTTATTGCTATCCGAATCAACAATTGCTCTCCAAACTTCTTCTTCCGAAAATGGCTTTTCAAGTGCTAACCTCTGCCCTTCCGATAATTTTAAAAATTCCAGATTTATCTCCTCAGCCTCCAAAGAATTTTCCTGAGAAAATAGACCATTGAAAAACTCCACCACGGAATTCCTAATTAAGATGGGATCTTCTATGACTTTATTCCCCACTATAAGGGACCTTATGCCATTGTTTCTCCCTCTAACTGTTGCAGAATGATGGAAAAATCTGGTTTTCTTATCCCCTCCATTCTCCATTTCAGTCTCGATTTTTGTAACCAAATCGATTCTTCTTTCTTTTGGAGCTCCCATAAATCTCTCTTTACTTCAATTATTGACCTCATTGTCACCAAGGGAAGGCCTTGTTGCGGATCCAACTCCATTTCCTGAATTCTTTTCTCCAATAGTTTAATTTTTCCAGACAACTCTAAATAACCCCTCCTAGACCATCTCATTACCACTCCCTTCACCCGCTTAAGCACCTTAGACATGGGCTTCCCCTTTTACTCTTTACAAATATTATCCAGCTCCTTTCCCATCATCTCAAAAAAAAACCCTCCTCCTCCATAACATATTTAAACAACCTAAACGACTTCAGACCCCAATTACAATCCTTGTTCTCCAACATAATAATATTATGATCGGAAACGGACCTTGGCTGCAATGATTGACTTAGCTTCGGGAATAAACTTACTAATATCTGATCAACCAAAAACCTATCCAATCTCTCAAACGTAGGAACTTCCCTATTATTACACCATGTAAAACGACCTCCAGACAGTGGCAAATCGAGCAAATTTGCCTTGCTCAAAAAATCCCTAAAAATATTCATAGACACCGTATTCACAGCTCCTCCTTCTTTCTCCTCCTGTGACAAAACCACATTGAAATCTCATCCTAAGCATAAAGGACAATCCACGTTATCCAAAAAAGATAACAGCTCCCTGAAAAATGTCTCTTTCTCTGCATCCACACTAGGGCCATACACATTAATGAAACAGCAACTTCTTGAGAGTCCCTCCATAGTCCCTTTTATTACTATAAATCTGCTATAAATGACTACATCTTCCATCACAAATTCCTTTTGATTCCACAAGGTAACTAATCCACCAGCATAACCTATGGAAGGAGCTACTGTCGATCCCGTAAGTAATTTTCCCCCATTTTCCTCACTAGCAAATGACTGACAACCTCTAATTTGGACTCTTGTAGAAATAAAATTGTAGGTTTTTTTCAACAAACCTCCTAATAGCTCAAGCTTTCACTCTCCTACCCAAACCTCTAACATTCTAAGACATCATCGACCACTCAACCATCATTAATATATCATAACCTTACAACCCAGCTACAGCTACTGACCCTCCTTCGAATTACTTTCATTCACCATCGGATCGGAACCATTTTAGACATAAAAGCTTCCTCTCCTCCTTTGAATTTCACCCCCAACAATTTGGACACATTCCAACACTCCAATGCCTCTGCCACCCCCTCATTCTCATTCTCTGCAAAGGAAACTACCTCCTTGTCATTGCAACTCTTAACTTCCCACCTCCTAGAATAAACATTCTTATAAAAACCTCTTTCAATGTTACTTACTGACGCACATTTCCCAGTATGACGACGCCTCGCCGGTGATATATACCGATTCTGCAAGTTTAAAGCAGATTGATCACCAATTGCCATCTCTTCCGATTGGATACGAACAGTATTCGACCTTAAAATCCCTTGATCAGGCCCACTTGTTTGACTACTGACCAAGCTGGTATTAAGCCCATTATCTTGTACACCCTTATCCTGGCCCAAGTTGACACATTCCACGGTTCTCTCATTTTCTCTTTCTTCATTAACTTCATCTGACACTCTCTGTTGACTGGAAACATCACCTACTGCTGCTACCTCCACAGAACAAAAGTCAACATTCAACATATGTTTTGTCCCTTCTATAATTTTCAAATTTCCATCGATAACCGTATCAACCCCTTGTTTATCACCCCGCACCCATGCTTCAGTCCTGTCCTGAGTTTCTGACAAGGAATGATCACCCAACTGCTCTTCATGTCCCTCCTAGACATCCCGCTAGCTCCAGTCCGGCGAATTCTCCTCCCAAGAAGCCATTGTTCTGCCATCTTCAACCACATCATCCAACTCTGGAAAAAAATCTTCACTCCCTTCCACTTTAATTTTAATGATAAACGATCTTCCATACGTGTTAATGGAGACATGAGAAGGAATGTCAAAAACACTCTCCACCCTCAGCGGCATATGAGCCACCTTGCAATCCACTTTTTGAACTGTTTGTTCCTGAATCTTCACTAGCTTGCCCTATCTCGATGCCAAATTGGTGAAGAATTGCACCGTCCAATAATTTAATGGAACACCTAACAAGGAAACAGCACAGTAGGCTAAAGGGATGGAATTCTCCTCCATAATTGATTCCAGCCTTTCAAACCTTAAGGACAGAGCCTCCCACTTCTCTTCTATTGCTGCTTCTTTCTCCTCCACTGTGTTGAAGACAATCAAACAAGCATTTTTTGTATATCCCCACCTGACCACCTTTACATTAAATCCTTCATTCCTTAATGCCCTTTGGACAAATTCCACTTCAAAGATCGCCTTACAAATGCCTGTTAAAGACGACCTCAGCCATCTCCTCTCCTCCGTTGGAATAAACACTTGCATAGGCTTTTTCACCTCCCTCTTATCTCCTACGTTGCACAAATGATGACCATCACCTTTTTTTCACCCCCACCACCGTATCCTTGTAAGATCTACCATCATGAAACTTGTTCAACAGCTCCTTTCTCTCTACAACATCCACCCGGGATATTGGTCTTTTTCCTTTCAACTCCTCTGCACCTGCATCTCTACACCCGACCGCACTATTTTGCTTCAAGCTTCTCGCAACACTATTTCTCTGATATTTCGCAATCGATACCAGTATTCTCCTCCCATCGACCACAACATTATTCATCCGTTCCACAGCCTTCAGCAGATCCTCCTTGCTTGCAAAATGAACAAAAGCAAACGTACTGACCTTATAATTAGGTCTCCTATTAACAAACGGAATAAACAACTTAATCACCTTGCCATGAACGTTAAATCGATTCCATAAAGCACTTCTATGCACACCCCTACTAAGATTATCTACGAACGCTACCCATGATACTCCTCCAGACAGCACTATATCTCTATCTGAAGAGAAGTTCGCTACCCTCTGCACTCTCACTCTCTCTCTATCCATCATTGAGCATTTCTTCAGCAGTAAGTTAAAGGTAATTAATATTGCAAGTGTATGTGAATAAATCAATAAAGTGGACTTTGTGTTTGTTTCCAGGTGAGAATATACACAGGTGGAGTTTCAGCTGAGCTAGAGAAATCAAAAGTAGAGTACCTGCAAGCTTCAATCATGGTGACCAAATCAAAGAAGATTGCATTCCCAAAACTTGTGGTGAAGAACATGTTGGACTTTACAGTGGATATGAAGTCATTGGTTCAATGGGTTTGCTAGCAGTTACCCACATCTGGTTCACTAAGAAAATCAATGGTAGACTGTTTCAGGAACCATAAGACATCATCGCCCATCAGTGTTGAGAAAATACCCTATGACTTCGAATTCCAATATCTGCTAGCAATGTGAACCGCTTTTATTTCTTTGAAAGAAAATAAGAAAAAGTTAGCTGACTCTATTCCCATATAAAATGGGGTGAGGGGAGGTAAGGTAGCAGGCTGCCCCAACGCCAGGTTGAGAGCAGCTTCCGTGGAAGACCTCCTGCAAGTTGAAAGAAAATAAGAGGCTATTTTATTTATCTTTGGTCTCTCATTTTCCTTTCATAACAGCTAATGAACAAATCCTCCTGTCCTGTGTAAAAAGATTGTTCCATCCACTCTCCCATTTGATTATCTATACCAAGGAAATCCATGTGGGAATTCCATGGACTATTTCAATAGCTAGGCCGAGTCCCTAAGATGACAGCTTTTACCAGATCCCTTAAAATTGGTTGATTCCACGAGATAATGTTCTCGAATTTTTTTTTCACGAGATAATGCTTTGGACATATTATTTGCTGAGATAGGGTTAATTGTACTGTGACCAAAGAGGTCGCCATGCACACCCAACGACCAAAGAGGTCACCATGCACGCCCAACGACCAAGGAGGTCGCCATGCACTCGGGGCGACCAAGGATCGGGGGAGATTGGGGAGATCGTGCCATGCACTCGGGGCGACCAAGGATCGGTTCATGCATGGGGCACTCGGGGCGACCAAGGATCGGTTCATGCATGGGGCACTCGGGGCGACCAAGGATCGGTTCTTGCATGGGAGATTGGGGAGATCGTAGGTCGCCATGGAGTCCCGGCGACATGGTAGGTCGCCATGGAGTCCCAGCGACATGGTAGGTCACCATGGAGTCCCGGCGACCAAGCTGTGGTCCTCCACGCCCAAGCTTTAACCCTATCCCTCATCTAACCCTATCCCTCATCATGCATCATCATACATCCATATCTGGGAGATTCCTGCATCGCGACCATGCTTTAACCCTATCACTCATGCATGCGTTGCATCCATAGCTAACTGGGAGATTCCTACATCCGTAGCTGCATGCGTTGCATCCATAGCTACATGATTGCAGCGTTAATTTAGCTGTTAAATGCAGCAAATATTGATGTTCAATTGAAGACTTTCAATGCTCAATAGTTATACGATTCAATCCTAATATTATTTTATTCAATAGTCAAATTTTAATGACTCTGTACAACGATTTTTTGCTTTATATAAATGATATGGGGTTTAGGGTAGAAGCAGAAGCAGAAGCATATATAAACTTTTCCGAGAGAAAGAAAAGGAAGAAGAAGAAAATAAGATAAAGGATCAAACATAGTTTGTGAGGTAACTTTTTATTGTTTAATTTAGTTTATTATATGAAATTATTAGTTTGTTAGTTTAGGGTTTAGGGTAAAACTAAAATCTAGTTAATTAGTTTGTTAGTATAAATTATTAGTTTGTTAGTTTAAGTTATATATTATATTATATAAAAAAATTAGTTAATTAGTTAATTAGTTTAAGTTATTAGATATAAAAAAATATTAATTAATTTGTTAGTGTCTTTAAACGTATATTAGGTTGTTCATTGAAGTTGAAGTTATATTATAAAAAAATTAATTAGTGCTTAATTAGTGTGTTATTTTAACTAAGTTATATTATAATAAAGAAATAGTTTATTAGTTTAAATTATATTATAATATATTAGATTATATAAAA